CCTCTGTCCCAAATTGACTTGGCTTGTACTGCCCAGATACATTCATAAGTACAGCGCAAACAAGGCTGACGAAACGCAAGTTTACATGAATCTCCTACAGGAGGAAATTATTTAGTATTGTAGTGCGACGATCGAGGCAACCTCCAATCAGCGAAAGCCACTTTTGTGCTTGCGACGATTCTGGCTCTTCCAAATCCGACATCGTGATTTAAAATAGTTCTATACCTTTTCCGTGATTGTATAGTGTTGCAAAGCTCCGCCGTGGAACTCACGACGATGTTCAGCTCGTCGCAAAGAGCTGGGCCTGGCATTTGGAAAGCAAGCTTGCAAATAAAAAAACACGTCGTGTTTGCCTTGAACCATCATAAATTGCTCTCCGCATCAGGGCGGCGCCATCGCACGTCTTTGTGAGCGGGCCTTCTACTCAACACCGAGGATGAAACTAGCCCAAGAAGTTGTTTTGAAAGTCTTTCCCCATCCTTTCTCAGGATTACCGCCTGCATTAAGAGATTTTGCGCTTGAGAAAGAACGAGGGATGACCGTTAAGTATTAGAAGCTGGTGATGGTGCTGGTTATCATTGCACTCAACTATCGAGCTGATAAAGACACGCCGTCTCACTCGCCTTTCGGCTTTACTTGTCCATTTCAGCAAAGCAGGCTATGAACTAGGGCGTAATTAATGCTTACTTTTGCAAAGCACAAGATGCCGCGTGGAGAGCGAGTCTATAACCCATCGCGCCTCCTTCCTGCTGTTTCTAGCCCCGCCCCTCTCCATATGAACGCTGTTGCAGCTACTGACTAAATGCTGAAGTTTCAATACAGTCAGTCTGATACCGTCCGGAAAAGTGCGATGCTGCCGATTCCCAGGCCTCCTCTTCGCATGAGATAATGTCCAAGGCTGTGCCGGGTGGTTTGTAGCAACGGCACCAGAGCAATCGTACTGAAGTCAAATGATATTCTTAGAATAATGGTATCTTTCCCGTTTCATCATAAACTAATCACACCTACTAGGCTGCCAATCGTTCTTCTTGAAGTGAGTCATTTATCGATAAAAGCAGACGTCGACCCTCCCCCTGCGGTTGCTTTTGCGATCTCTCTATTTTGTGGCGGAAAGTCGCCTTTGTACCGAAGTCTCAGCATGCGTTCTATACTGAGACGGGGTAGGTCTCGGATTAATCTAGAAGCTTCGTCATCGCACTGAATGCCTTAAGGCTGACTAAGCAAACCAGAAACGTTCTACTGCTCTAGCGGCGATGTTTCTTAGCTCCAGGGGATGGTAGAAACGCTTTACGTACTACAGCAAATTTCACAATCGACTAGCCTATAAGCGCGATAGGTTTAGTAAGCCCACTAGAACACAGGTCGCATCCTCTTGTAAGATTTAAGTGTATAACTCTATCCCATTTTCGCAACAACCGTGGACGGCCCGTTGCAACATGATTCTATAGACTTTAGAAACAATCTGACGTAGTAGGCCAATCGCATTTACTCAAACTTTTCGCCCTACGCTATATCATCGTGTGTGTTTCTCCTGCTTTTGGCAGCGAGTTCTTGCTTTGTTGTTGTGGCTTTCAGTCATAGTTTCGTGCATCTGCACATTTTCATCAAATTAAAATTATAAATATTGCTAATAAGTGAAGCCGGGCTGATAGTCGCAAGTCGACAGTCCCGTACCACTGTGATTGTTACTTTGTAGCAAAACTTGTGCCATTATCGCATAACGATGGAACGTCATGTGCTATGTGTTTAACACTAGTGTTTAAAGCCAAAACATTCAGAAGCATCATGCGGATACCAAAGACACAAAAATTACGGGCTCGCGCAAATCCAATGATTCAATGTTGATTTGAAAGCAGTTATTGTATTTACACGTGCAGTGTCTGAACATTTTGTGGCATTATTGTACCTCGTGCGCCAAGTGCCTTACGGTCAAAGACTAAAAATGTGTTTAAGCAACACTCTTAAACTCTCTATCGGAATTTGTTTATCCGTGTTGCGATTGCATTCTGGTTATCCAGCGGCAGCGAGGCGTATTGTTGCAAACAAAGTAACGTCCATGTTGCTTGGCTTTTATCTTTTTTGCGTCGAGTCTCATGGGATGCCTCAATTCAATTAACTCGGCTGTGTATCACCGTTGTCTGATGATCTATGACTCTCTTTAAAACAAATATTGCGCTCCGTCAATCCCAAAACCCCAGTCGAGTTTACCATGCAAGAACCTTCCCCATCAGCTTTATTTGATGGGCAAAGCTAATGTCATTTCCGTCAAAATTATCTGGTTATTTGATAGCAAAATGGAGGTATAACCGCCACCGCAAATTCTTCTCAGCATTTCAGTTCTCACTGAGAAGAATACAAGTTAAACTGGAAATTTCGAGTAAGTAGACCCTCTGTAGTCACTGATCAGCGGGAATGTACGGTGTAAAGCGATTCTGACTAAAGAATGAGACACGGCTTTGATTTTTGAGCTTGAGACTTGCCGGTAATAACCATTCGCAGGCCTACCCTCAGTTGCATCAACGAAATGTGGTTATAGATGTCCCTGATTTCAGCATTAGCTGTTGGTGAGAACAATCGCATTTCTCTGTCGCAAGACTATAACACCACAGATACAGTCTCCATGGGAGAGTACAAATTGTGCCCACCACTGCAAACTTAGTCGGAAGGGGAGCTTTTTAAAATTGGAGACTTTATGCAATCATAGAGTAAATTCGGGCAGAGATCACTAACGGAGCTGCAGGCATACACATAAATGCGTCTGGGTTACGCCGCGGTGCAATGAGTGGCTTCTGATAGATAAGTCAGTACAAAACGTAGTCTTACAAGATTCAGCTCAAGGTCGATGCGACAATTGCACATGTAAAAACCTGCCTAGCTTGCTGAGTCGGGACCCGATTCACTAGAACGGTTAGATTGCGACGAAAGTCATAAAATATTGAATCAACACCCTCCTCTATTTTTTTGTAACAATATACTAAGCAAGTATCTACGGTTGAGGATTCGGCCCCGACCCTGGGTGATGCTTACGAGCCCAATCTTTATGCAATTGATAACACGGAGTAATCTGAATCAAAATTTTCTCATGACAATTCTGTTGGCCGCGGCGACACTTGTTGTCAATTCAGCAACCGGGTATGTAAAGAAGTGGACCATTTGCGAGGATGGAACACAAAATTTCGAATTCATATGCTCCAGGGCAAATAGATACGCCTTTTAAGGCTCTTCTTATGTTAACTTCGAATCGGTCGGGAACAATCATTCAACGATGACATGCGATTGCTCGTCTGGAGCCGTGTGCCAGCTGTAAATGTGCAATGACGAGAGATCCCCGAGAGCACCATAACCGGGAGTCAGTGAGAGCGGATAACAACCACAGGAGGTGGCCGATGAGAGACGTCTAACACTTTGAAAAAAGGTTGTTTAGGATTCCCTCCGGGAGACGAAAGATGAGATGGTCATGAATTTGTTGATTTTCGACGGAGAGTTGACACGATGCGCTAGTGATGTTCAAATTAGAGGCCGCTCGCGATATCTTCATTAACGCGGTATCGTGGTCAAAGCGGCATTTTATACATGGAGCGTTTGAAGCGTCAAATTTCGGGTGTTCGCACTTCCTAACTAAGCGTGTCGGGTGTATCCAAAGTTCTTGTTCAGCCGTAGCAAACTATGTCTAGAGATTCAAAACTCTAATTGCAGCAACGGAATCGAGTTTTTTTTCTCTCAAAGTCGGCTGCCACTACCACTTTCATGAAGGGTCTCTCGGTGCGGCCCACACAGAAACCTTTGCGTCACCATACTTTATTCAGGGAAACGGTGGCTGTCATATTCAAAGTGGTATTTAACATCTGTACCTTGAGGGCCCGATGAGTAACTAATTTTCTTTCTGCGCACCAAACAACTGACAACATTAAACAGTACACAAAGGCATTGAGGATGCCGGATACGGATATAGTATCTTTGTGGCTTGCAACGGGGACACTACTGAATGTGTAGGGGCTCTTCAAAATTTCCTATCAGTTTTGAAGACTTTGATAGTGTGAGTTATTGTCTCGTCACGACGGGGATATGAGGTGTGATTTTGTCCATGATATATCACGTGGCTTGCACGCCGTTCTACCGAGAGTACAAAAACTTAGGTGCCACGTGTTTCTTGCTTCTGGGCCGTGGCAAATCACTTCCGACAGGACGCAGAAGCATTATGGTACGGGTTTGGAGCCAAGAAATCAATTATATATCAATATTCTGCCAAGTGTCGTGACTTATTAGGCAGAAGCGACAGTGAGCCGCAAAATGAAGATGAGGTAGCGAATAGCGGTTGTATATTGCAGTCTCCAGAGTGTATCATAGCTGCGATAGGATTTAGCGACCATACATCGCGGTTCCATTGTGCACCTTTGGTGAAATGGTTAATAACAGCCCTAGGATGTAGTCTACTGCTCTATAACAGAAGACGTGTACGAGGGACAGTGTGAAGTGGTTTTCTGTGCCAATGTTGGTGGGATGGGTGACTAACTCGCGAGTTGAAGAGCATTCAGTGCCCAGTAACAGATCACGGTTTTTGTTGAGTGTCCTTCACCTGCCATGAGCTTGGCTCTAACATTTGTGTGCTTTGTACTAAGATCACGATAGAGTACGCATCTGTCCATCAAGACGTGAACCATATTGTGTTCACAAACAAATCTCGTCGTAGTCACCAACGTCGTTGCAAGAGTTGTCCCAAGACTCGGCTGCAATTTTTGCCATATCTCACGGAATGAAACTAGCTTTAACCGTCATTATAGATCCTTCCTCAGTATATGTTCGTGCCGTACGCTGTTGCCTAAGTGTTGAGCTAGCTTGAGGTGATTTGTAGGATTAGATTGTTGGACCCTAATCTGTCTACTGTTTTTTTATCAATTAGAAATTTAGCCTGCCCTTGCACGCTCCGATTGGTTCGCTCATGAAAAACACCAATTCTCAAAGTTCTGGCGGAAAACCGCTTGGAACATACCACCATCACAATGGAGCAGGGCCCACCGCAAAATCCTTACACTTTCACACGAGAGGATTATGACAACTTGGTGGCTAAGATGCCTAACTGTCAAATTAGTAAACGCTCAAAGTACGAGGAGATTGAATTAGTGGACGACTGTACATTATTTGAAATATACCGCCAGCCGCGGGCTCCCATAACGGATCCAAATGCGACCAGAACGCTATCAATTCGACAGCTCAATGCTGATCTCACGTGTCCCATCTGCCTAGGAATTATTAAGATGGCGATGGTAGTTATGGAGTGTCTACATCGCTTCTGTAGTGACTGTATCTCCACTGCCATCCGCCAGAGTAAGCGCGAGTGTCCATCATGTCGCATTCACATTCCGTCAAAGCGTTCACTGCGACCCGATACCAATTTTGATGCGCTTATTTGCAAAATTTATCCAAACTTGGCCGAATTTGAGCGCAATGAGGACCAGATCATTGAGCAAATTAATCGGTCTCGACATTTCAACAACGCTTACACAGAGAGCACACGAATGGGTGTGCTCAGTCAGGCCGCGACACGGCGTCAGGGTCGGAAAAAAGTAGAAGACACTACGTCGAGTTTATCATCGCGTCCGTCGTCGCCGTCAAGCATAGCATCGCTACCTGTTGGAGACAAGCGGAGCTCGTCTGATAACAGCTCAACTTCAGCTACAGTCTCTGAAGAGGAATCAGCTCGTAAAAAGCTCAAAGTTGCTCCATCTACGTCCAAACCTATCGACACAATAACTGATCGTGTTCACTTTCGAGTGTTACTTCATTCAGAAGCACAGTCGAATTCGCCGAAATTAGAGCGCACGCTCTTCACGACGTCAGCGAGACTTAAGATTCGTCACTTGAAGAAACACTTGGCTTCACTGCTCAAATTAGACAAGTACGATAACATGTGCATCGTACTACCAAACGTAAATTGCACGCTTAGTGGGCTGAGTGAGTCAGTGAAGCACAAAAAGAGTGTTGCGATTCGAAAAGATTTGCTATGTGACCAAGAGCTGGAGGATTTTGTGCTTTTGAAAGATATTTATGAGCAATACGGTATGGGCATGGCATGGGAACTACGGCTTTTGTACCATTTTTCCCCAGGCACAATCGTTAATGGCATTGCACAATTTGTTTCTGCATCGGCCAAAAGTACTTGAAGCTTTTCATTCTTGACAAGTTAATCATGTTCTAAAAATCGTCGCTGTTCAGTTAACAAATGTATGCATGTTTTATTATGATTGCTGTAATACCTTCATCAAATTGCTTGATCGCAATTGCAAGCGTTGATAAAAACTTGGCTCGCACAGCGACTGAATGCTTTACATAACTGCATTCGACCGAATTGAAAAATTTAATCGGTGCAATATAAAACATTCCATACACTTATTGATCTACCATCAATGATATCCTATTTGCATTCTGCAAACGCACCAACCCACAGATCTTTTAACATACTATCATCTTGGACCAAACTTTTTTGCACAATTGATGTGAGTGAATCAAGCGACGATGTGTCTATCTCTTCAACTTTCTGGTGTCTGTATAGAAATGCACGAAGCCGCGCAAGACACCACGCACTAAATCGTCGTGAGAATTGGTTTCCACACTTCCAAGCGATGCCGATCTCGTTGACGACCGCACATAAAACAAAAGCATCTGAGTTACTACTCAAATGTTTAAGTTGTTGATCCAATGATGCATCTAATGTCGTGTTTTCATATGACTCCGGTGTTGATCGGGATATTACCATTGACACCAAAGAAATCGATTTATGTAGGACTGTTAAGTCATGACATATGGCAGTTTCTGTTCTTGGAAGCTCATCGAGCAATCTCTGCATAACGTAGCGTCGATGACACCACAGAGCCTCGTGTGACGGATATAGTGTCACGATTTCCGACACAAATTTGTACTCGGTAAGAATGAGTTCCTTTGAAAGATTTTCATGTCCAGAGATTCGGTATTTCTTAATTAGCTCGTTCAATGTATGCTGACGATGATTCCACCCCGAATGGTCAGTGATGTGAGTTCTACACCATCGTTCCATATCTTTTAGCTCCTGAAGTGTGAGAACCACCGGAAGCTGAGACACGATCCAGTGCCGAAAACTCCACGCATGATAATTCCGCGGTTTTTGCTCTGCTAGACGACTACACACCTCTATCTCTCGACTGTAAAATATCAAGTTGTCGTTTTCTGATGAAGACTGACATACTAGATTTGCCAGCCACCGCCTACGACAATGTTAATGACATGTATCATTAAACTTTGTTTCTTTGCTGACTTACCGGTACGCCCATGTGTCAATACTCTTCGGGTGCAATGTGAATACAAGGTTCGTAAATTGTATCTCGTCATGTGCGTTTAGCCAGCCTCGCGTCACAAACAACTTTCTTTTCTCGCCCAAAACACAAATTCATAATCATTCAGAATGTCACCACTTTCCTAAACTCGTTATTAAAAACAGCTCACCGCGTATTCCAAGCTGTATAAAAGTCGGCGCTGATGAGAAGAATTGCGCGTGTGCAGTGCACCAGTTGAGCGCGTTGCTCATTGTCATTTGATTGTGTGATTTCTGTCACCTTTTCCTGAAAGCGCGCATTCAACACATGGAATTGCAGGCGAGCTGCTTGAAAAAGCGGTTTTCCGGCCGCAAATGCCACACCAAGCTTGTGATTTTCCAGAGTAAAAGCGGTCTCGGGCGTCAAGTCTCTCGCTTCTATGCCGAAAAGTAGACCTACCTCGTCACTAAAGGATCCCGTACAGCATTATCCCGTATTAGACATACGCGGCGCAATCAGAGGTCGGAGAAAAGGACAAGTTTAAAGTTTGTATTGTTATTGGACGCACATGAGCGGGTCTTCTTGGAAGATGCACATAAGCCGCGCCAATAATGCAGCCATTTTAGTCAAAATATATTAACAAAATGTCACTGTGCAAGGAGGATTGATTTTCTTACATTTTGACTTTATGAGGTTAATGGCATGTATTGGCAGCTTATGCATGACAGCAAGCCGAAATGTTATGTCCCAGATGATAGTGCTGGTGTGTCAGAACTTGGGTGCGAATCGTACATATCCATACAACTACCAGCAGGTCATACTAGAAATATCTTGTTTGACCGCTCAAAAAGTTGAGAGCTTTTGAGTCAAGGTGATGTGTACCCATGGCTGGATGCAGGATGTAGTGACAGAGACCAAATTAGGGAATTCAATATATGAACGGACAGATCAAGGTAGCTGCCCCGAAGAACGACAAGGAGGGTATCCAGATATCTATGGTACGAGTGACAGGAGATTACCGAGTACCTCGCACATAGAGAGTCTCAATGCTATGATTTCGAGTAAACTATCGCGCCCAAACCTAGCAACGGAACAACAAACTTCTCACGCAACTCAGTGCTTAGTATGCCAAGAGTGATAAATCCTGGGTTTAAGTCTTTTGTAATCGATACTAATCATATTTCTTCTGTGCTGTCCACAGCAGTAAGACCCTGGTGAGGCAAGCCGCCCATGTACACATTTTTTCTGTAAGGAGTTTCATTATCTTCATCAGGGATGAGTATGAATCATGATGCTTCATAAATTTATTAAACTTCTAGCGGACAATGTGTAATGTACAAGCAAACCAGAACAGGGCAAATACTCCGTTACAACTCCCACAATATACCGATCATTTTTCTTTCCAAAACATCTCGCAGAACGATTGCTCTACGATGACCACTGCCCCAAGAGTTTGTCCCCCTCATTGCTCCTTCTAGTACCAGCCCTCACGAGGTGCTTGGAAACCGTTGCGACCGCCTCGGGGGGAGGATCGGCTGTCATATCGTCAATGAGAGCTCTCAACTCTTGGACAAAGTCCACAAATTCCTTGACGCCTGGTTAGGCGGCGAGAAAACATGCAAAAGTTGATGCTACAGATCCTCCCAGGAGGAGAACGCTGCTTCAACCGAATTACCGCACGGAAGTGCCCATTCTCGCGCTCGGTCCCGAGCTTGGAGGTAGCTAGTGCCTCGCGCTCTTGCTTGTTCTGGAGCATAGCAAATGCCATAGCCATCTCGGCCTCTCTCGCATGATATTCTCTCCATCCTTCTCTCGAGGTCTAAACGCTCACCATGAGCGGCCTCCATCGGGAGGAGTCATCCGTCGTCGACAGTGCCGTCATGGACAGAGTCAACGACGATAGCTTCAGCTGTGGGTTCTCTAGCAGAGCAATTCCATAGCTCGAAAACGCCTCTAGGTGCACACTTATCGCTTCAGGTCCTTGCGAAGCAAGGAGCTGTACGCCCTTAGGGTCAGCAGGGACATCAGCTTATTAGGCCCGTCCTGCATGCCTTAGGGCACAAGAGAATTCCTCCATCTTCACGGAGGATCAGTCGTAACGCACCAGGCGTTGATTCACTACAAGTGCTGCCAAGTGCAGCGGGGCTGCCGATGTTCTTCGCTTAGAAGAAGCTTGCTAAGGTCACCGACCTTACGTTCTAAACTCGAACCAGTACGAGGGTAGCGGATCGCTATCCGCTACCTCCAAGCAATCTATGGCTCACATGTTCCAACCATGCCACACCGAGGATAGGGTCATACCTTGCAACCAAGTTCAAGACGAGACAGCGTTCCACGCTATCAAAGTCAAGGAACTTGACAACAAGGTCTACAGGGACCCAAGGCTCCAAATTTATTGTTTCATGATGCAGCCAAAACACTTTCCTTAGCCAATGATAGCCGTCTTACTTTAGATTCGAGCGGATCGACATGACGGACGAAACCAAATGTGACCACAAGGTGAAAATGTTCATTGGGATCTCAGAAGTATTTAGACCAACCAAACCTGTGAGTCGTGTTCTATCGTGATCTCCCGCACTCGATACTCAGCGCTGGCACCTAGCCAAAGTCCTCGGCCTTTAAAAAGAAGGAAAATTAGCTTCTTCGGCTGTTGAGTTGTAGATGCTTCAAGACGGGAGCGAATCGGAGAGCTCTGGCTGTGACGACGAGGGCGATCTCAGTGATGATGACAATGACTCGAAGCCTGAAACCAGCGGTACGGGCGTACTTGAGGTTTTCTTAAGCTCGGTGTGTTAACAGGCGACGCGTGCGATTCGTACGCCGCAATATCTCCCCTAATACTTATAAGTTTATGGTTAGACAGAAAGTAAAATTAGGCATTGGCTCAAAGCGCTTACAAAATTTGAATAGTAATCTTTGTTGCAGCAGCCGTGCTTGGACAAAAATGGAAGGTACGCTTACGGAGGCATTCAAGAAAAAACAGAAAGAAAAAAATATGTGATAGTGGTCAAGGCCGCGACGCAACCGTTGAGCACGAGGAAGTTGTTCAAGAATATGCGCAGTGATAACTACCCGCTCAAGACGGCACACGTTGTTCAATTTGTCGATAAACACTAAAGTATGTGGATGACGATTAACATGATGAAGAGCAAAAAGAACCGTCTACAACGTCTAGCGCGTCGGTTTTCGTTCGTCATGGTTTCTCGCTCCGTCAGCTGATGCGAACGATGCTCTCGGTAGAGGACTCTTTGCAAAGCAGATTGCTTTTAAGAAAAATATCGCCCCGGGTTCTAACGTAACCTGAGGTGCCGTCGGAGAGGCATTTGATGATTAACCAAAGTCGCGGTGTATGCCGTCCTAGTTGATGCTCGAGTGGATGCGACTGTGTAGACCGACCAAATTATGAACACACTATGGGTAGATTTTGTGCACAGTAGAGTAAGGGGCTCACTGGCTCTTAACGTCGACAAGTTCAAGTTGCATGACCAGTTCTGGCCTTTGAATATAATCAATGACATGAGCTGTGAAATGATTACATTTTGCCCTTGACCTTGCTCGATACACCACGGGTGGTGATGATGAGGCCGGGGTGATCGCTGTAGTAAACAGCCATCTCATCTGAGTTATAAATATCAAATGAGTCTGTTGAGGCACTTGCACGACTAAGAACAGAGCTGGTGCCTTTATTGACGAACACCACCACAAGGCTCCATTCGCTCGATGTGGGCGCCTTGGAACCTTTCAAGAGGAAAGCCCGGTTACTCGCGCTCGACTACAAACTCGCTACGATGGTGTCCGCACCTCGACTCTCGCCAATGAAAGGTCCGGTTTGGATGCACTCTTCCACTGTCGAATAGAAAAGGCGTGCAATTGCAGAGAAGGTGATTTGCGCATGTTGTAACGGGGTTCAAATACCCTGGTAACAGGGAGAGGTCACACAAGATGGGCATGATGTGACCACACCCAAACAAGAATACGGTATGGGGCTGAATAGCCTGTAGTTATACATGTATTTACATTTTACTACACATATTTGAAAAAATCTATGCATTTAAATTACGCGGCTTTGCAGAAAATAAAAATAAATAAAAACAGCTTTAAATTGTAACCGAAGATAAAAAAGGCTAAAAGTACTCTTGGAATAAGCGAATTACGATCCGCTAAACTCGTACTTGTTCTGAGTACAGAACGAGAGGTCGGTGACCTAACGTACGCTTCTACAAAGCGCAAAGATACGACAGCCCTCTGCACTTGGTAGCACTTGTAGTCAGTCTACAATTGAGCCGTTAAGACCGATCCTCTGTGAGGATGGAACAATTTTCCTCTTTGCTCCAGGGCTTGCAGGACGGGCTTAAAAGACTGATGTCCTTGCTGCGCCCTGAGGGCGTGCAAACCCTGCTGTGCAAGGCCCCGAGGCAATCGGTGCGCGTCTAGAGGCGTTTACAAATTACAAAAACGCACTGCAAGAGCATCCTGCAGCAGAAGATGTCTGCTTCATCTGCGTCGATGACGCCACCGCCAGTAACGGATCACTTCCCCCGCCCTAAGCCGCTCATGGTGAGCGTTAAGGTCTTCGAGCGGGAAAGATGGAGAGAATCTCCTGCTCTGGGTGAGAGAGAGGTCGAGATGGCCATCGCATCCGCCATGCTCCATACCGAGCAACAGCGCGTGGCGCTAGCCATCTCAAAGCTCGGTGATCGAGCGCGAGAATGGGCAGTGACGTGCGGCACTTCGGTCGAAGCTGCGTTTACCTCCTAGGGCGGAGCTGAAATTGCAGCTCTCACGAGTGTTTAACCAGGCATTTCGCGTGCAAGCGCGTTTTCTTGCCGCCCGACTGGGCAACAAGGAATTGGTGGACTTTTGTCCAAGAGATGTGGCATTGAATGCCGAATTCAATTTGAGTCGGCACGACTTGGTTGGAATGCACACCCCAACAGCTCGTCGAGCGGGCCTGTGCCCATGGATTCGAGCTGTAATGAGGACGAGGGAGCAGAGCTCCGAGCTGCCGGGCAACACACATCACACGACGGTGTTCTGTCTGTGGAGAAACCCGTCACCTTCAGAACGGTTGCTCCCTGCGCAAGGCGCGTCAAGGTTCTTCGAACCATCGCCCCAATTCCTACCAGTATGGTTTGTCGCGGGGAAACGACTCCACCCAGTAGGCGCGGGGTGACCTAATGGGGAAGAACTGAGCTCTGTTGAGCCTCAGGGATACATAAGTCAGCAGGGCCCAGCACGGAAGAGCTCCGTGCTCTTGAACACGGAACGTGTATGCAAGCCGAGTTAGCTGGTCGTGGAGGTGACCGTAAAAGGCTTCGTGAAGCCATGGAAGATCCTCATCGACTCCGGGGCGTCAGGCAATATGGCTCGACGCTCCACGATGGAAGGAAGTCAGCTGTATGCTGAGGCGCTAAAAGCGCGGTCGGGTTACATCGTCACTGTTCGCCTAGCGATGGGGACATGTGTCACGCTCCCGAAGGTCCCTGTGGACCTCGGAGTCAAGTTCCTTGACTTTGATAGCGTGGAACGCTGAGACTTGGATGCAAGGTATGACCTCATCCTAGAAGTGGCATGGTTGGAACACCATGCGCCATGGATTGATTGGAGGTCAAAGAACTTGGCCGCTACGCGTACGTCTCCTGGTGGAGCTTTGGCGAGTCATGAACCCACCTCTGCTAGGAGACAAAAG